GAGGGAGACAGGCCATGGCGCGGGAGCAGTGGAGCCTGGTGTCGGCAGGAGGGGTGGGGGGTCTCCCCTGCAGGGATGGGGGGAGGGGAAACTCTCCTCTCCTGGCTCTGTGGGGCAGAGATCAGCTGGCTTGGTTGCTGCTCCACAGGTGGACAATGGAAGGACCATGGTCTCTCGTCCTAGGAGCACCGGATTGCCACCGGAGCAGGACAATGGCCCACGGGGTCCTGTGATGGGCGGCTGCCCCGCACTGTCCCTTTAAGGCCTGAGAGAGGGCGGGGGCAGGTATTAGCCAATTAGGGCCCAGCTGGGGCTGTATAAATAAGGGCTCCTGAGGCACAGACTCCTTCATTCACACTTGCTAGGGAGCAGCAGGATTTGGCTGCCAGGGAAGCTGGGGGTTTCCTGAGCCAGAGCAGGGCTGGGGAAAGGCAGGCAGGGCTGGGGAGCTCTGGCCAGGAGAACTCCCAGGCTGCAAGGCCGGAGGGTCCTAGTGCTGCAGGGAGGCAGTCAAGGAGGCAGGTCCACACCCTTGCCCATGCTGAGCAGCCATTTCAGATGCAGTTTGCCTGAGGCAGGGGCTAGCTGATGACTGGCAGGGGGTCACTGAGGCAGGGTGGGTCTAGGGAGCTGAGGGTTCCCACAGGGGGAGGACCTCATAGTGTGGGGGTCTTGCGGCAGGGCGGTACCCAGAGGGGAGGATGCCACCATGTGGGAGGGACGTGGGTCCTAACGCAGTGGAGGAAAATCAGGTAACAGCGGGTGAGACACCAGCCGAAAGGGGGCCCTCAGCACTGAGAAGCTACTTCCCAAAGCGTCCAGCAGGAGGCGGTGGCAACGAGGCGTGCCGTGTTACGGGTTCCTTCTGCAGCAGCAACCAGGCCGCACTGCCCAAGGAAGGTGTCAGCTTATCCCTGAGCCTGCCCTAGCCCGGGGGAAGTTTCTCTCTCCGCTCTGGCATGACATGCCTGTAAGCCAAGGGTCAATAACCCTTTTGGGACAGCCGTTCCTGTTGTCAGTACAAATGTTTCATCCCTCTTCCAGGCCGGAGAACCCCTTGGACTCTGTAACGGTCCAGCAGCAGTGAGTTCCACCTGCTAATCCTACACAGCTTTTAACGTGTAGTGCTTTGAAGTGTGTTTATTGGGCTGACCCCGCCACTGAGGGGCCTGACTAGAGGAGAAAGAGAAGCATCCATTTTTCGTGCCCACTGGGGCATTACTGGAGATTTTCTTTCTTCCTGAATTCCTCTGTCAAATGCGACGGTCCTAATTTCTCCTCCCCTAGAAAACTTTTCTGGTCACCTGCTGCCCTTCCCTAGAAGCTCTGCATGTGCCTAACCCAAGCGTGTGCAACACAGAGGTGGGTGATCCGATCTCAACAGGCTATGCCTGGAGAGGAGGTCACGTTACAGCATTTGCAGTAGTATTCTCACTCCCTTTCTACTTGCAATCAAATGTCTTGTTTGCTTCCCCCGCCATTCATGGAGCAGCTGCTGTTACTGACCCGTTCACAATGAGGGCCAGGCCTCTTTTCTGAGCAGCTACAAGGAATTTGGATCCCGGCCACGTGGAGGACTGAATCTGGAGCCAAGTCCTGGACCGCTTTGTGTAAATCCCCTTGAACTGCCCGGGCTGGGCCCACGTGGATCAGGGAGCCTTTGCGAAGCCAAACCAGAGCCCAGCTCGGCGGCAGCCGGGCCACAGAAGTTCCAAGCGAGCAGCCAACAGAACCTTTTATTTGTCAGAAGGCAGGACACCAGGTACAGCGTGCTGGGTACAAAAGGAGCTGGTCTGGGCTCTGTAGTGTCGCCACACGGCTCGGGGAGAGGCGGGGCCCCGGGCCTGTGCCCGAAGGGTGGCAGGTGCCCAGTGGGGCTGAGCCAGGGGGAGCAGGCAGGTCCATTCTGTGCATGCCAGCCGTGCCCCCGAAACCAGCAGCCTCACAGCTCCCTGAGATGCGGGCGGCACAGTGCTTGTGGGCTGCCGGAGTGGAGGGCGGGCGGCCCAGGGGCTTGGGAGGAGCGAGAGCAGAGCCAGCAGCCTGCTTCAGTCACAGCACTAGATTGGGGGGGAAGGGGGGAAGAGGCTGCATGGCACCATAGTGCAAAGGCTGCCTCTGCCCTCCTCCCCCACCCCCTGGTGGACTGCGGGCAGTGCCGCGTCCCAGCATCCTCTGCCCCTTCCGTGCTGCTCCAGGGAGAGCACGGCATGCTGGGACTTGTAGTCCAGCTGGGGTACCAGGGGAAGGTGGCACCACACAGGCTGCATTCAGCGCTCAGGCTTGGCTTTGATGTGACCATGGAAACCCTCTTCCTGCACCCTCCGCCATCCTTGCTCCCACCCAGCTGCATCCCCCTCTGCCCAGCAGAGGGCAGCTGGCGGCCCCTTAGTGTTTCTACCCTCCCCGCCCCACATCCCCGGTTGTGGGTCCCAGGCCAGGCCCAACCAGGGAGCTCCTCCAACGCTCTGCCCCGCAGGCGGCCCCGCTCCAGGAGGCTGGTATTCCTGCTCAGCCCCCTCGGCACCATCCTGCTCCTGCACAGACAGCGCCAAACCCCGAGATGGCAGGGCCTGAATGAAGCCGAGGTCGGGGCCTCGCTTCCCTGCCCGGGGCCGAGAAAGGCACCGTCCTGCGAGGGTGTTGCTGGTGATCAGAGTTTGCACAAGTTCTTTGGCACGAGTACGTGGGAGTCCCAGACCAGGCACGTTGGGGGCTGGCTCCCATCCGCCCTGAATCAGGTCCAGTGGCTAAGGCACCTTCCTGCTCT